AGCCAAAAAGCAAACTAGGTAAAATATATAAAAACAATACTAGAAAGAATTAATTCTGAACTTAGGAAGAAATTGTTAAACCAGTGGAAAAATACAAAACAACTATTGACTGGTTCCACAACATAAATAACAAACAAAATTGCCAATTCCTACAATTAGACATAAAAGAATTTTACCCATCTATAACAGAACGTATGCTAGATAAGGCCATCGACTTAGCTCAGGAACAAATAATAATAAAACCAAGCGAAATCAACATCATTAAGCACTCCCGTAAATCATTATTATTCCACAATGAAGAAGCATGGATAAAGAAAGATGGGATATTTGACACTACAATGGGAAGCTTTGACGGTGCAGAGGCATGCGAAATCATAGGCATTTACTTACTACACGAACTGAGCAAAATAATAGATAAAAATGACACAGGACTCTACAGGGACGACGGCCTCATAATCTTAAGAAACTGTAACAAACAAAACACAGACAAAACTAGAAAAGCAATAATAAAGATTTTTCAAAAAAAATAACGGATTCGACATAGATATAAAAACTAATTAAACGAAATAGATTTCTAGATGTGACCTTCAATAAAGAGAAGGCACATATAAACCATACAGAAAAACCTAACGATAAACCACTCTACATACACACATCTTCCAACCATCCGCCTTCTATAATCAAACAGATACCAAAATCGATTAACCGCAGGCTCTCCGACAATTCCTCCAATGAATCCCTATTTAACAAAGCTAAAAAGACTATGAAAACGGCCCTGAAAAGATAGCGGATTCCCAGCAATACTCACATACTCACCACAGAATACAAAAAAGACCAACAGGAGATAAATATCATATGGTTCAACCCACCGTACAGCAAGAACGTAAAAACAAACGTAGGAAAAATATTCTTCAAACTCTTACACAAACACTTCCCAGAATCAAGCACCTTACACAAGATATTCAACAAAATACAGTAAAAATCAGCTTAGCTGCACCGAGAGCATGGAACAAATAAAAAAAAAGCACAATAGGAAAATTATCAACAAACCACACGAACAAATTAAACCCACGTGCAACTGCAGAATAAAGAACGAATGTCCCTTAAACGGAAATTGTCTACAAAACAACGTAATATACCAAGCCACGATAAAATCACCAGATAACGAAGAAAAAGTATACATAGGAGTAACTGAAGGACCCTGGAAGCAAAAGAAATTATATACACAAAACATCGTTCACAAATAGTAAATATGCGAACAGTACTATGCTTTCTAAGTATATCTCATGAAATAAAAAACAAAACGCACATCACACCAAAATATCTTGGAAGATAAGGAAAAAGTCATCAGCCTACAACAACCAATCAAAAAACTTGCAAACTTTGCTTGGAGGAAAAAATAGCTATCATTATTTTCCCGACCAAAATAAATTATTAAATAAAAGATCCGAGCTCATCTCAAAATGCAGGCATGAAAATAAATTTTTACTACGTAACCTAAAAAAATGAAAAACGGAAAAAATAAAATAAAAACAAATAAATAATAATAATAAATAAAAAAAAAAATAAATAAATAAATAAAATAAATAAATAAGTACTATGTTGCTTAAAAACCGAAAAACAAAAAAGAAAATATAAAATAAATTGACCTAAATTCATCCAAGTAAATAAATAGGCAAACCAATCCCAAATTAAAAAACTGTTCCCGCCAAAAAAATAATAGTTAGAATGAACTACAACAACCAACCCCAAAATTGAACAAATAGCTTTAATTAAATTCTCAAACCAAAACAAAACTGTTAAATACGTGATATAAACAAATTTTTACTACGTTAATAAATAAATAAATAAAATAAGAAACAAAAAAAAAATAAATAAATAAATAAAATAAAATAAAAAAATAAATAAAAACGAGCAATATAACTTGACCCAAATAAATGAACAAAGCGACTTCCGGTAAAAATAACCGCCATAATAGAATACCCACAATGCACCACTAACCCGTATATATAAATAGCCGAGAAAAATAACAGCACACGTGGCCTGACGATTGCATATAGCATGAAACAGACTGTCGCCTCTAAGTGTTGACTTCTATGTTCACTTTTATATTTATACATATATATATATACATATATATATATATATCCCATATATATTGCACACCTGAATTCTATATTTCTTTATATAGGTATTTGCGGTGAAAACAGTGTAGGTTGGTGTATAAATATATTTATTTTTTTTGGTTTTGGAAAAATATGTGTGGGGTGTATGTATGGGGTGTGTATGTATATATATATATGTGAGTGTGTGTGTATATATATATATTATGTGGGAAGGTAAAAGTAGATTATAAGAGAAAAGGTTAATAATTGTTGCTGTATATGTGTATGTGTGTGCCTATATATGTATGTGTGTATGGGTGTGTGTATGTGTATGTATTTGTGTGTGTATGTGTGTATATGTATGTATGTATGTATGTAAATGTATATATATGTTTGTATATATATATGTATATATATATATATGTATGTGTGTGTATGTGGTTGGATATATATATATATATATATATATATATATATATATATATATATGTATGTATGTGTATATTCACCATGTGTGTGTATGTGTATATGTATGAGTATGTACATGTATATGTATGATAAAATCACGGCAGTATAATGGTTGGCCAGCATGGTTTGTTAGATTAGGTGCGACTGAGGAATGAGTTCGTTCCTCACTAGGTACCCTTAATTTCGGCTTTGTGCTACGATATATTTAATATATATATATATATGTGTATGTGTATGTGTATGTATGTGTATATATATATGTATGCGTGTGTGCATATATATATATATTTATATCTGTATGTCTATTTTATTTGTATATGTATTTATATTTAAGTATATTTCTGTTTGTATGAATGTGTTTATATATTTGTATGTTAGACTATATGTATATTGCTGTGTGTTGGTGTTTGAAGGTATATTTATGTATCTATATGTTAGTTCGTTTAGATATGTATTTGGTCGAATGTTGTTGTATTTTTTATGTATGCATGTATATATGGGTAGTTGTTATTGTAGATAGATATATTTATTTATATATATATGTTTATTTGTAGATATGTATGTATGTGTGTATATATATTTATGTATGTTTGTGTATGTATATATATATGTGTGTATGTGCACCTATTATGTAATAGTTTGTTTATGTGTATGTGTGGGTATGGAAACTTTGGTATATCATGATTTGTTTTTTTTTTTTTATATATCTCTAGTATGTGTGCATAAAAGTCTATGTATATATTTATGTGTATTTAGGTTTATATGTATATGTGTGCATGTGTACTGTTATCATAGATATGTATATGTACGTATATGTTTATGTTTATATATTTATTTGTATGTATTTCTGTATGTATATGTATGTATGAGTATATATTTATGTGTGTTAATTTGTTTTTTTGCCGTGTATATATATATATATATGTATATATTTGTGGATTTCTTTATCCTGTTTTTTCTTTGCCAAATATATAATGAAACTATTATCAACTTATATGATTAATAATATATATATTTTATTGATATTTATGGTTTTAGAATTTTCGTTTTAATATATTAAATAATATTATTTTAAACATTTTATCTTTGTATATTTGCTCCCTTAAGTTATAATTCAATAAGTGGTTAGCATTTATTTAAGTCTGAAATATTTACTGGTTGTGATTTCTCAATGTCTATGCCATTGTCTGTGGATGTATGTGTGTATATATCGGTGTCTATGTGTATGTAGAGTGTATTCACATTTATCTGTGTGTGTATAAGTGTTAGTTTCCACGTCTCCTTTTTTCATAAAGGGCTGTAGAGATGTTCATTTATTCCCCCCACCTCTCCCTTTTTTTTTTTTTTTTGTGTGTGTATGTTTGTGTGTGTGTGTGTGTGTGTATCTAATTATGTCTGGATGCTTATGTATTATAATCTGATTGTGTTTTTTTTGTGTCACGCGTGAGTTTAAGACCATATTCACAAACTTTTAAAATAAAAACGGAAAAGAAAGGGAAAAGAGAAAAATATATATACATGTATTATCAAATGACCGGATGTATTATAGCGTCTTGTCTTGTCGAACGTAATTTCAATGAAGAAATGAATTGAATAAACACATATATATTTTTTCTTTTCTCAATAATTTTGTAGGTTTTAAACTTAATAGTGATTAAATTTGGATTTTAAAAATTGCCAGTTTTTAATTTTAATATTAAATTTTATCATGTAAATTTATAATTATTAGTTAGTAATTGAAAAAGGAAAACACTGCTATAATAATAAAGTTCTGTTTATATTCTGCTTGAGAGGAACATTCCCGAGAGGAATTTCATGTCAGACGCCGTTTTACCAGGTTATCGCTCAGCCACTAATTGAAAAAGGAAAACACTGTTGTAATAATAAAGTACTGTTTATATTCTGCTTGAGAGGAACATTCCCGAGAGGAATTTCATGTCAGACGCCGTTTTACCAGGTTATCGCTCAGCCACTAATTGAAAAAGGAAAACACTGCTATAATAATAAAGTTCTGTTTATATTCTGCTTGAGAGGAACATTCCCGAGGGGAATTTCATGTCAGACGCCGTTTTACCAGGTTATCGCTCAGCCACTAATTGAAAAAGGAAAACACTGCTATAATAATAAAGTTCTGTTTATATTCTGCTTGAGAGGAACATTCCCGAGGGGAATACAGGTGTTTTAGTACAATGTGTGTGGCATAGAGAGTCTTAGCGGTGAAGGTTAGTGCTGGTGAAACTAAGAAGTGTAGTTATGAGCTATTGTTTCAGCAGCAGGTCAGAGTGAGCTATTCAGCCCTGGTTGATAAACCGTTCTAGATGATGGATATGTTTGAATTTGAAAGCAGTGGGAATGGGGATGATAACCTCAGCAGTTTTGCATTTAAACAGTGCGACTTTTGATAAAAAAGAAAACCGTTTGATCTTAATGCACATTGATCAACAGAGCATTCTCCTCGTAGATGTGAGAAAGGTAAGAACAACAGTAGCATTTCGGGCTTCCAAAGTGCCCCCGATTAGGCTCCGTTCAGTTTATAGTTATCTTGGTATATAAACACAGATTACCAATGATGTACTTACATGGATAAATATAACTTTACCTATCTTCTTATGTAAATAGAGATAAACACTGTTTACAAATATATATAAACAGCCAATTCAACTCGCACTGTCTTCATGTGAGGAAAAAGAATACTCCCCCATCTCTTTCTCTATCTATCTATCTATCTATCTATCTATCTTTCTCTTTCTCTTTCTCTTTCTTTCTCTTCCTTTCTTTTTCACACGCTCACACATAAACGCCCCTGACCTAGAGGAGACGCATCGTCATCCCATGTGATAAAGTAGTGAGTTGGTCTCGCTACTCATAACCTGCAGGTTGAATACCCCATATCTGGGATCCTCGGATGGCCTAAATACAGTAAACATCTTTCTTTTTTTGATGTTTTTAGAGATGCTATCGAAACTTTAGTTTTATAGTTCAAATCTCGCAAGCTGTTTTCTTTTTTGGGAGGGGGTGTTAGTGGAAGTTTTTTTTTCATCAAAATCAGGTTATTTCAGTAATATTTGTTTGTGTCATGTATAATTAGTTCTTCTGGCAATAGATTTTTAAGACTTCTATATTCCTAGTCTTGCAAAATTATACTGCAAAATATTGCGGATGTATGTACATTGGTGTTTGAGTTGGGGAAAAAAAGTTGTTCCTGTAATTTTTATCCCACTACAAAAGTGACGGTCTTGCATATGAGTCTGGGTAATAAAATACAAAGAAACAACAAAAACCATTACTTCTTCGTTTCCTTTTTATCTTTTCTTCATTACCCCCTATACACAGTGTGGCACCATGCATAATTAGAAAACTGAAAAGAGATATTCATAAATATATGATTTGTTTTTTTTCGGTTTGTCAACCATTTGATAATTATTTAAGGCTGAAAAATATTTCGGGATTAAGAATAATTCTTTCTTTACATTCAGGCGATCTGGGAGAAAGAAAGAAAAGAAGAAGAAAAGGAAGGAAAGAAAAAAGAAAAATATAATACGAAAACCCGGTCATAAGCACACACGCTCAGCTGACACATATCAGATGTCAAAAATATCAGGTCAAGCACCTGACCTACTTCGGTGTCCACGAAAAATGGAGGTTTGTTATCAATTGGTTGGAGAAACGAATTTTAGGGACAATGAAAAAAAATATTGATAAGTAACAAATGAAAAGGGTGTCATTGAGATGATAGTAAAAGTCTAAGGGGATGGGGAAGTGTATCTAAGGATATGAAAACAAAGCATTAATACGAAAAAGCCAGACAATATCTAGAGTTGGAAAAAGAGCCACCAGGGGTGATGTCGCTTTTTGAGATAATACAGATTTTTATTATCGGCCAGAGGAGAATGAAATATTTTGTTGCGTTCAGAGAACGCCGACAGGTCTAAGAAATTCTTTTCTTAGATCGTATCAATTAGGGCGATAGGCTGTTTGACAGATACCGCGTGTAAAAGAAACCAGGATCGTCATTTTCGGTCACATACGAAAAGGGCAGTTTAAGTTTTGTTTCTTTAAGCAAGGTGTTTCTTCCCCAGAACAAAGCCACGGATTGTCCACGCCTGATTAAAAGACGTCACGAAGGAAGGAGGAAAGATACCGACCAGAGTCTCATTGGCCGAAGGCGGCCACATGATACATGAGGGAGGAGGAGAGACACCTGACCAGGACCCCATTGGCCGAGAGCGGTCACATGATGTGCGAGGGGAGGAGGAAAGATGCCCGACCAGGACCCCATTGGTCGAGAGCGGTCACCTGACATACGAAGGACCAAAGGGAAGCGGGTATACGCCCCCCAAGAGGCACAGTAAGGAAGTAGGAGTGAAAGTGAGTTGTTGAGGGTGGAAAAATCCCTAATCAGAAATAATACGTCTTTAGAATTATCAAGAAAACCCTGGCGCTGACAGACCCACCCCAGTTTTTGACTGCGTAATCTCCAGCAGGACCCCAACCGACAGAGTTGGAGTTGCAGCTCGGACAGGCAGAGAGTTTGCGGCGCGGGCTGCGGGCCTGGTTCATTCGCCCCTTTGCGGGCAAGAAAGGCCGGTCCGTTTGGCCTAAGAAGAGAAATTCGTCCAACCCAAGCCGAAGAGAATAAGCTCGTCCAACCGAAGCCGAAGAGAAGAAACCAATTCGCACACTGACGGCGGTGATGAGTGAACAGTAATTCAGACTCCGAAGAGAAGAAGTTAATTCGCGCACTGACGGCAGAGATGAGTGAACAATAATTCAGACTCTGAAGAGAGAGTTAGTTACAGCCACGGACGGCGAGAGAAATCAGCCGTGAACGACAGGTAGAGATCAGCGCCCAGTGTTGAAACCAAACCACACCCCGAAATGCAAATTTCTAGAGAGCAAGCAACCCGAAGCGCTTAAAGTTGTATGGTAGAAGCTTGGTGCCACGGTCCACAGAACGGGTCGGGAGGTAGGAATAATCTTGTGTAACGAACAATTAGATATAAAAAGTTGTTACCTTTTTCTTCAATATTTTTTGACCTTGTGAGTTTTATTTATCTTGTGTTATCACCCCCGTTGGACTCAACTTGCATACGGCCCAATCCCTGTTTGATCCCGTCTGTCTAAGATCTAATCACAACGTGGGTAGTCAGACCGGAGATCAGTGTAGTTACCCTGGTAACCAGGCGTTGGAAGCGGGTTGATAACAACGAGGCTGGTATTCATCTAGCCAAAGGGTTAGAACGTCACACTTGGAGCAGCGAGGAGCTAACAGCTGGCGTCGCGAACGGGATCGAACGACACAGTCGACGCTGCGACCAGGGGGGATGACGTCACACAGTCTTTTCCCTTACTTTCACTCTCTGTATCCCCATGTGCACTAGTGGCACCCCCGCTTTGTTTGGGATGAAATGCTTATAAAATATATGCAAACAAATGATAATGTATTATTAACAAAACAAAAAGTTACATTGCGAGCGAAAAAACAATAATTTATCTTTGTAACAATACAATGAACATGCATGAAAATATTTAAAGTCTAGTGAGTTGTTCGTGTATGTGACAGGTGTGTATAAGTCCTAGAAAAAAAAGAAAAGCGTAGGTAGGTGCGCGTGTGTGCGCGTACACGCGCGTGTGCGTTCCCCGATGGGGAAAGCATTTTCCTCGTTCGACCTACATCTTATCGTCCCTGAGTGAAATAGGAAAAAGGGGAAGATAGAAAATATTACAGTATATCTATAGGTTCAGAAAGCGTCCCTTAGTGACGGTTTTTCAGTTAGGAAAGTAAGTGGGATAAATCCAAACAAATAGGATAATGTTTTTTGAAAGACTGATGGCAAACACGAAAGAAAACTACAGAGTCTACGGGACAGAAAAGCGAGAAGAAAGAATAAACTATCAACTGTAAAAAAGGAGAGTGTATGGATGCCAGAAAGAAAAAAAACAGGAAGATGCATGGTTACTATAGCACAGAGACTCTTAATCATTAACAAACTTAGCACATAATAAAAAGACACAATGCTTTTTTAAGACACAATCTCCGTTTTTACCTGAAGACGGTCACGAGATCAGAAACCCATGTAGTAAAATTATGGAAAATAAAGCATACTTTTTTTTTTTTTAAAACCATTACAACCAAAGACGTTTGCAGGCACCTCTCTCTCTTCTTTTAATATATATATATATATATATATATATATATATATATATATATATATATATATATATATTCAGTTAAAAGTCAAAATATAATCATATTTGGTAATGGCTAAAAGTATAACCGAAAACGCTCAGGTATACAGAACTTTCGGATAATTTCTGTATAATTTATATCCAGAAAAGAATAAAACTATAAAAATGCTACTCTGATCAAAGGAGAAGACAATTCACTATGACGAAAATGTCTTGAGCGTGCATGGATCACAAGTTCATCTACAGTAAATCTGTACCCGGGATTTTTCAACATTTTACCATTCCGGACAGAACTTCCATTATGACAGTGTGGGATGTCTACAAACAAAAATGACGGAAAGAAAATTAATCTAAATAAAATCGATATTCTACGATATTTCTCAGACATTCAGGCCGGTAAATGTAGTTAATACTGTTTATTATAAACAGGGCATTTACTTTCATATTTGTGTCCATAAAAATAACGTATAACCAGAAAATATATTAAATTAATTGTCGGAATTAAATTATTTCATAATTAATATATGTTGTCATTTGTTTACGTTAAGATATGCTTTGAGCAGATATGATCGTTTGAGAAAAATCATGGGAAATTTGTTGCTTAAAAACAGTAATTCAAATTTGCTAACCATATGCTTCCTCTGTAGTTCAATAGTATAGCCCGCCAGGCCAAATGACGGTTCCGTGTAGGATATAGGTACGATTCCTGTCGGAGGACACATATATTCTACGATATTTCTCGGATATTCCTGCCGGTAAATGTAGTTAATACTGTTTATTATTAATTAAGTAAATTCCTCCTTTAAGTTTTAGCTTATTTTTTGTTTCGTATTGACTAAGTCTTTTATTGCATCAAATCAATTGGTTGCCTACCGTAACGAGCCTGACCACAATTTTGACATAAAAACGATACTCTGATCAAAGGAGAAAACAATTCACTACAACGTAAATGTTTAGAGAGTGACTTGTTCGCAATGTCATCTACAGTATATTTGCGCCCGGGCTCTTGTAACATTTCACCATTCCTGGTAGAACTTCTATTATCACAGTGTGGGATATATCTAATAACAAAAGTGATGCAAACAAAAACAAAAGAAGAATGTAAATGAAATCGGCTAGATTAAAAAAAAAAAATAATAATTTAAAATTTCCAGCGTCTCTCGTTCGTGAGCATGCGTAGTCGAACCAATATAACAAATTTCGTCCAATGAAGTCCTAAAGGACGAAACGCGTCACAT